CACGCATGCTTTTGATGAATCATGCATTTCCACTTCATACTTTGTAACTAGAAATTTGTTAGAAATCTCTTTCTGTTTTGCAGGGAAGGGAAAAAAAAAAGAAGAAAAAAAAAGAACTGCACGCCTTTAGAAATCTCTTCATCGTATCCAAGTCCACAACTGTAGAACCATCTCAATACGAATGGTACGTTTTTGCCTGGTTACAGTCACCACAGTAACACCCATGTAGCTGCTAAAAAGCTCATTTCCTGGGGAAAAAAAAAAAAAAGAGAGCAGGGGAAAGCATACATTGGAGAGCAATATATGAACCAGATATCTGCAGTGCATCAGAGGGACCTCAGCAAGGCCTTACACAATCTGACAACAGCGCAAGGCATGCACTGGAGGCTACATGCATCTCTTTGAGTTGCAGGAGGGTATCTCTATGAGCCCAAAGGGAACAGCTACAGATGCAAAGCCTCTGTGATAGAGGCAGCTACTGTATGAGGACTGGAGATTCCTGAGCCGTCCATAGGCACTCTGCTTCTCTGGGAAGGGGAAAGCTTGAGAGCTGGGCCGAGGGAACGTGTGTGGTGTGTGAGGAGTCAGCCAGACCCAGCTCCACAGTTCGGCCCTGTGATGGGGCTGTCCTAGTCCCAGGTGCCACACCAACCTTGTCTATCCAAGAGGCAACCCTGAAAACGTTAAGCAGTTGTTAGATCAAAATTGGATCTTGACATGGTAGAACAACAGCACAGGCATATTGAGGTGAATGATGAACCTCCCCTGGGCTGCTGTACAGAAATGATCAGGCTGTCATGAGGAGCTAAGGAGGGATGTTCAAAGGCAGCATCAGAAGCACCAGTTTTTATCATGGAATGAGAGCTGTACTGACAAAGCTTAAACGCCCGCCTACTAGCAGCTCCTCTAGTAGCAATGGCTGGACTTTCCCTGACTGAGTACATTGTCTGCTCCATGTCCACAACTCAGATGCAACATTGTTAATTACAGAGGTATTGGTTGCAGCCTTACATAGCTTTGCACTATTATGTGCATATTAAACTGGAAAAACTTTCCCAAACTAAGAGCAATACCTCTATCATGTAAAGGATTAACATAAGAAGCTACCTGACATCTGCTAGTATTTCCCTGTAGGAGAGTCAGGCTGCTTAACTTGGATCAGTGGCCAATGCCATCATGCATTCAGAAGCTTTGCTCTGCCTCAGAATAGAAAGCCTCGCTCTCTTGCACACATCATTGCTTAAATTCATCAAATGTACTGATTAAAAAAAAAAAAAAAAGAAAAGAAACAAGCAACAAAAACCAAAAGTACTTCAGTGAGCCTATTTTTTTCTGAAAAGAACTGCATGTTAGCCAGTTTGCTGTATTCCCATCTTCTAGTACCTGCTCAATGAGTTACAGGCTGAGCGTTTCAGTTCTCTGCTGCCACAACACTCCTGCTTGGATCATGACAAGAAAAAGCTCCTTAAAGAAAACCAACTTGGGTTCTTCGTGGTCCCTAGAGGAGAAAACCAACACAGAGCTTCAGATACAGTCTGTTCTGGCCTATAACAGCACACTGGAGACCTGCACTCCCAAGAAGCTCCCAAACCAAGACCGCACATCAACCACACAGCACTGCTTGGTTCCCCAGCATACAAGGAACGACACATTTTAAACCCTACAGAAACCATTCTTCCTTGTTTACAACCAACTTTTGTTTCACTTTTTCTTTGCTCAGAGCTCTGGTCATCAGACTTATCCAGGCAGGAATTAATTTTCCTTTGTGACTGTTAATGGATAATTTAATCATGGTCATTAAGAAAGCATAATGTGGTATGAATCAGCAAGGGATGGTGACACATGGAGGACCTGGAAATTTTTCCTTGTTCCTTTCTGCCAATCTTCAGTAGAGCCTGGCTGTGGTCAGCCAGATATTGGGTGGTGCTTTGGAAGAAGCAAGCAAGTGGGCTGAGGCATAGCTTGTCCCAGGAACACAGGGCTTCTTGGCTCTGTTTCCTGCTCAAGGGAAAGCTCAGAGCTGGCGGCCAGGTAAGATAGACAGCAAGACAAACTGAGAAGGCAAAAGGAGCTGAAGGGAGAGCACTGTTGAACTTACCCTGCTTCACTATCCATTTGTTATAAGCTCTGATTTAAAATGCAACTTATTGTTTTTATCTCTGAAATACAATCGATTTTAAGTCAGATGCGACCCCAGAGCCAGTGCTGTGCAAACAGCAATTTTTAACAAAGCAGAGGCGAAGCACGTGTGGAAGGAGCCCACACAGCAGAGATGCTGCAGCGATCTCAGAAACAGTAGAAACTGAAATGAAGTTTAGCTCTGCATGCTAATGAAAAATGCCTATGTAGGTTCCTAGACAAACCAGTTGAGAAGAAATTAAAGAAGGTCAATTTATTGCAGTGCAGACTTCTGTTATCCAGTTACATGAAGAACTCGTCATAATTAAAACATTTTGGTCATTTATCTCATATGGATTTTTTCTAAGTTTAACCCTAACACTTTTTAGCTTTACAGTAATTTTCCTAAGAGTAATTACTAAATTTCAATAGCAGCAATTTGGAAGCTCAGAGGTATATAACCTCAGCCTCACTCCCTCATCAGTGATGATTTTTCCCTTAAAACCTGCTTTCCCCAATTCACATTTTTAAAGCGTGACACATGATCAATAATCTGAAAGTGCAAAAAACTTTCTCATCTGATAATTCTATTGATTTTTAGACCAAATAATTAAACTAACTGTTAAGACCACGTTCATCAATACAATCTGACTGCTTTGTTCCCCCCCCCTCTTGAGCAAGAGGAATCAATCAGGGTCTCCTGACTTGTGTAACCAGTCACAGCTACCGTGCTGCTCTGACATGATACCCAATAGCCATTTGACACCTGACTGTCCTCACCTTGCTCTTATAACCACTTACCTGCACACCCCAGGTTCCAAACTCTGCCCTCCTCCTGAATCCTCTACATTGCACTGTACATTCCCAGAAGCCTCCATCTCCATCCTGTCCTGGGTGCTGCTTTCTACGCTATCAGGTTGCTTTGTGAAACGTCAGTTTTAGAAGACATATTGTATTTTTCCACAGGTAACAGAGATTGAGTGGCAAATCATGCTAAATGCCAACTTTATTTCCATTTTGGCAATGGAAGCATATCTACAAATTAACACCCTCTGCTCAGACTGTACTTTAACAGTTGGACTTTACTACCAACCAGTTTCTGCAAAGTAGAGCAGGTTGCTGGTAGAGTATGAAATGGGAAAGTCAAGAAGAGTCTCTGAGGCTTTCTCTGAAATCCAAGCAGCTTCTTCTTAGGGATGGCTCACTGAACTGAAAATTTCATCTCATTCTCTGATTCACAGCGATTAAGACTTGTGGTTTAGTTCCAAAAAAAAAATAATAATAATAATAATCCCTCCCTAACATGTCTTGCTTATACCTGAGTTTTTGCTGAATCAAGAAGTCCAAGAAAACGTGCCTTAAGGTTATGCATATCCAAGCTCGTACGAGCCAGTGAAAGAAGTGGATCCTGCAGTGAGGATCTGGAAATGGATTCACTCTCATCCGGCAGATGACAACTTGTGCTGCCACTGGGCTGCTCCTGCACCCAAGTGGTTGGAGCGAGGAATCTCTTCAAGGCAGTAAATTGGGATACGACTGGAGACGTACGTCACTGTTACGTGCAGTCAGAGAAAGGATTCTTTGTGCTGGTTTCCTGATGAGCAATGTGTAAAATGTTCACAGATTTGGTTGTATTCAAGGGACGCAGTGGCACGTATGTACATACCAGCTGACACTGTGATTATCTACCTCTGCAACAACTGAGAGAAAGCCCTCAACAATTTCAGCTGGTAACACTCGAATTTGATACATTCTATGGAATGCATTCTCATGAAGTAACACATTCAAAATATTTGCAGCAGTTTGTGCTGGAGAAATGGTTAGAAACTCTGGAAGATTTGTAGGACATGGAGCAACTCACAGCCTGAATCAGGCACTTTGCACGGCAGAGCACAGCAGTCAGTCCTAGCAGATCCAGTACTCCCCATCCAAACACTTCTTCACTGACAAACGTTCTTCAGCATTCCTAAGATCAACTGGTGTTTGCAAGTTGCAGGAGAGATAGAAATCAGTGTTTGCCTATATTTGACAATGTTATTTGAAGTACAAGATAGATTACAGATAATATTTAAATCTCTCTGAAAAATAATGGTTTCTGAAGTTTTTAAGTGACTGATAGCCATGCAACTTGATGGCTCAATAAATGACCTTCTAGAAAACATATTTTTAAAATCACTTTTAAACGTGTATTCCAAAGGCTTATTTACAGTACATCCAACCAATAACTGCAACTAAGCACATGTACAGACGTGGTCATCAGCAGACACGGATTTTCAGCTACTTACACAGCTACAAAATCCAAGACCTTTCCCAGTTGGTATGGCTCTAACAGATGCAAATGGAAGAAAAATGGGTTAGATTGGAAGGACATCTAAAGTAATGATCAGTTCTTCGCATCCACACTTGACAAGCCTCCCTGCTAACAGTTCACACTGCGATGCACAAGTACCTAACAGTAACTTTCATCAGAGATTAGTAGATTTTCCCTTCTAGGTGAAGCTTGCTACATTAAACCTTGTGAAAGCATTCATTTTTGACCACATTTAAAAAACAAAACTACAGTATGTCTTGGCTGCCTTTCAAGTGCCAGATTAACACCTTGGTGGCTGCACCCTACTTCCATTAAAAACAATGGGATATGTATGACACTGCCTGGCCTTCACGAAGTCAAATGAGAGGAAGAAAAATAAAAAAAGGGGGATTAAAAAGAAATTGCTGTAGGTTACACAGCAACAGAGCCAGAAGTCAAACTCAGGAACCCTGACTACCATTGCTTACATCTGCTGTGGGGAGTTAAATGGGAACAAATGGGAAGAGGCAGTGATGTACACTAAGAAGAAAAGTGGGCGCTAGGAAATTGTGATATTATGGTGCATCGAGACAAGAGAGTAGAGGAAGAGAATTAAAAGAAAGAGTGGAGAGGAAAATACCTAAAGCTGCAATTAGAAAAGAAAAAGATGATAGGAAGGAAAAGCCAACATAAGTAACAGGAGATATATTATTAGAGACATTTTTTAGATGTTAAATAGTTGACTGTCAAAATATCTTCAGGAAATACACAGACAGCATGTTTGCCTCAAATAGGTGTATTTACTGTGGCATTACAATGCTTTGGGTGATATGCTGTTGCTGACAGGAAGTCTTCTCTTTACTCCTCAGTCATCCTAGCCACAAGTCCCATTTGCAGCTGCCTCAAAAATACTATCACAAAGCATTCATTACTGATGGCATTTGGCAAAACCTAAAACCCAGAAGTGCTCATGCCCTCAGTGTTCTGAAAAGGCAAATTATTTCAAACACGTGGTATAAAACTTGCATTCTTCATGCTGCTTTCTTCATAAATGCACTGCTGAAGTGGCTGACGCAGCATAAACCAGAAGGATGCTGTGCCTGTCCCAGAACTGATCAACTCACATCCAGATGACAACCAGCATCCTGCCAGTGGAGCCCGACACAGCCAACATGTTACTGGCTTCACAGGACAGTGGCAGGCTCAAAACAAGAGCCTGGAATGGAGAGTGGTGATAAAAAGAATGGAATGTGGAAGACCAGAATGAACAACCTCCAGAACTCAAACATTTCAATAAGCTGAAAGACTCGATGAGGTGTTTTCCTCCGCTGTTGGCTTATTTTGCATCTGCCTGAACCAAAACCAAAGATATCCTTATTCTTAAAATAACAAAAGCACTCTGCACAAGCTTCAGGCTACCTCCCAACCAAACTCATCTTCCCAACTACCAAAACCTCTCCGCCCAGGGTTCTAAAGTCGAAAGTGCTTGAAATGATTTTATTTTCCAAAAGCAGCATTTTTCAGAATCTCACTTTTAAATTCTGACTATTGTGTAATTACTGCAAAAAAGGTAAACAACAGGACCCAGGTCTCAGCAGTTGTACTACTGCATCTGTAGAGGAACCAGGCTGAAGCTGTGCTACTGGCAGCACTCACAAAGTCCATCTACTCAAGGGCATCAGAACAGATGGATCCACACAACAGAGGGATGAATCCACCCCCACGTTCTGCAATAGCTCAACATCAGCACTAGACAAATCAGAAGAAAAATACATATAGAAAAGGTTGCTTTGCTTTTCAGCACTCAGTGCCAGAGTCTTTTGCATTCTGCTTCCCAGCCTCAGATTTGGAAACCGCCATCAACTCTCTCTCCACCATTTGACAAGTGCAGCCAGTTACGGGGATCTGCATCCCTGGAGGCACGCATCTCCTGAAGAGATATCATGAGCTGCGGCCACAGATCTGCTCGATATCGTAGATCTCCTTGGGACAGTCAGCAGACAAGATGAGAGGTGAATCGTCTGCTATCACAATGTCATCCTCAATGCGTACACCAAGGCCACGAAACCTCTCTGGGGCACTCACATCATCTTCAGGGATATAAAGTCCTGAAAGAAGGGAGGGAATTAAAACATGCCACACTCCCTAAAAATCTTTCCCTCGATGCACCCACCTTAAGAACAGGGTAAGATTTTCAGCAGTATCACAAGAATTCGACCTTGAAGAAGTTTAATAAGGAAAACTGCTCTCTTTCCCTTCAATCACAGCAGCTGGTAAGCAAAGAAAGGGCAGTGCCTATGGACATCAGCATGTTAATAAGAACTTCCACAATTACAGCAGGTCCTTTGGCACCTTTTGCTCTCAACTCTGTGTTCACAGTGATGATTTTAACAGTGTTCCAAATAGAAAGAGAGAAGAGCCGAGCATTAAATATCAGTTTTCATCTGACAGCTCCAAAATAAGTGACAAGAGGAAATAAATACTCACTGTGAAATGTCTTGTTTGCAAAAATAAGCTGTGAATGCTTGTAATTGCAGGCTGCAAGGCTCAAGAGGAACTTACACTATAAGCAACTGGTAGTAGTTTAGTTACAACAACACAGACCACAGCACAACTGAATTTACTCTGCTTCTCTGCTCTGCAATAATCTGTAACGCTGAGGATCAAATACCAGCAGTCTTAAGTTCTAAGTTACTCTGTCTGTTGCTGCACAGGCACTTTCTGAGTATTCATGCCCACATGCTGGCTGTATTTAAGATGGAAACACAATTTTCAAATATTCTAATATTTTTGGGAGGGGTGTAAGATAAGGTTTTCTAACACTTCAATATTTTCAAGTTTCAACAGGAAAGGACCTGAATGCTTTGGTCAGAGGAAGCAACTAACAACTCAGAGTAGTACTGTTATCCTCAGTGTTATATGATTTTGTCCACCACTGTATCTTTTTACCTGGTTCAATGGTTATCACCATGCCTGGCCGGAGTGGGACAGACCGGGATACATCTGGGGTATCGTGAACATCCATGCCCAAGTAATGGCCCACATGGTGTGGGCAGTACCTTCGAACAGCCTGACAGAAAACAAAGCAAGCGTTATGGAGGTAATTAAATGCAGCCAGTCTGTTGTTCAAATGCAGAAGATGGGAAGAAGAGAGACAGCAGTTATGCGCTGTGCTTAGTTACCTGCTTGTCTCTGGGCTCTCGATTTACCAGAACTGAAGGGCCCTCAAAAGTTAACAGTACCAACTGCCTATTCTGAATGCCTTTCTACTCAAGCACAAGCTTAAGCACATCTACACCTTGCATGACAGGCAAGAAATTCAGTTTTTATCTCACTGACCTTTGCTGCCCCAATCCTTCCCATCCCTTAACTATCCACACCCTGTGTTGCTCCTATCAGCAGACCTCGACAAGTGGCAGCAGCCAGCACAGCTGCTAGGTGCTATGGTGAAGCACTCACCTATGCATTAAAGAAAAGGAGCAACACCAATTTCATTCAGCAGCTACAGCAGGATTTTAACCCATCTCTACTGCGCACTGTTACCACCTCCCCTCACACCATCCTAATCCCCTCCCTCTAGAGAGGAGCAGGAATCAAAGAGCTAATTCCTACTCTGTCCCCCAGCTCCTCATATTCACTGGGGACTGAGCTGCAGTCCTTACTCTCATCTGGCTGTGCTGCCACCTGCCGAGAGAAATTGGCATGATCGCCTCCATTCGGAGGGGAAAACTTGTGCTGTTACCGTACTGACACTTGTAGGACAATTAAATCTGGCAGAAGTCTGTACTGCTGCCCAAGGGATAGTTCTGCCACCCGGTCCCTGCCATCTTTCTGGTACTGGCATCAGCAATCATGCAGATTTGCTGTGAGTGGGACCAGAAAACTTTTCTAATGGCAAAACAATCCTATTTTACCTGCAGGTTTAGCTCCAAGGCAGCCCAGTTCCCCACTGTGTTCTCCAGATAATTCTGTAAATCCCAGCAGTGACACCCAGAGAGGCACGGAAGAAGCAGCAGGTGGAAACAGAGAAATTGGGCTGTGCTTTTTGGTGGCACTGCAGATTAATGTTATTTTAAACAAATCTCAGAACTCTGACTAATTGCCTGCAGTCGACCATGCACGCAGCCTTCTGTGTCAGTGCCAATGTTTCCCTAGGTTTGTTTGGATTATTTGTACTTTAAAGCTACAGCGACATTAATAAGCAGTGCAGACCAGTGGGAATGGATTTGCAGAGGGAAAAAGCAAGTGCCAGAGGGACAGTGTCCTCACTGCGCATGTGTAAGGGCTGGATGTTATTTCAGACCAAACTGTGGGCTGAATGCCCTTTAGGGGTTGAAACAGATCTTCAAAGTTAGCCTCACCTGAAAGAAATCCAGTCCAGCACTGAGACCAGCCCACAACACAAACTAAAGCACATTAAGTAGGGATAATTAAAAGATTTGCTTCAAAAGTGTATTTCTGATCTAAACTAAAGCCACTAACATAAACCACAGATGCAACAATCACAGCGGGGAGAAGCTGGATTAAAAATAACCTTTGTGTACCTTAAAGAAGTGGCTGTCAGTGATGCTGCCCTTTAGGATCCCCAAGTCTTTCAGCTTCTGTCCAATAAGGCTCAGCATGAGGCTGTAGATATTTTCTAGACTCACACCTGGGGAGCAGAGGCTCAGGCAGGACTTCTGGATGTCCAAGACAGCCTGGTACAGTTCTGCTTGAGGTTTGGTGAACCTGCAAATCATTGAGAAAAGGAACAAAGCACATTTCTCCCAATGAAGTCCTCCACCCAGAAGCTGTTTTAGAGACAAATTCAGTTTAGTGCTGAAGCAAGGGGAGTCAGAAAGGAAAGCAACTGTCTCCTTATGGGAAATGCCAGGCAACGTATCGCAGAAACATGCCTTCAACACACTGGGTAGAGGCAGGGATTCTATTTGACTTCCTTATCCCAAAGCAAGCCAAGGCAGCACTACTGCTGGAGACAGGACACACTTGAGCCCAACATGCAAGAATCAGACACACAACCACAGGGACACTGCACCAGCCGCGTACTGCTCAGCTAAACTCCTGTTCTATTACTCTGCGTAAGGAACAGCTGAATGCACAAAAGCCATCTCTTCTCCTTAAAAATACCAGAATACCTGAAAACAGCAGTAATTAATGAAGCAGAGGGAAATACAGCCTCTCGCATTGAAAGATTTGTTTACATAATTTCATTACCCCAAAGAACTACAGAATGGGACATATTTGAGCTACTGTCACAGATTACACACATACACTCAGACTGTGCATTATTTAAGAGCTTCTCACACTCCTTCAAAACAGCCCTGTCATGACATACCTTCCATTGACGGGCCAGGTTCGTGTGATGTCGCTTACGTAGCAGGAGAACTCACACCCACCATCTAGCAAGACCATTTCACCATCCTGAGAATAACAGGAAAAAATGCCTGTGTGGATCAGTGGGTACTGAGTGAACTGATGCCTCAGAGAGGAGGAAAGGAGACAATGCAGTGATTTTTGCAAAGCAGCTGCAGAGCTGTGAACTCCTTTTGCAGAACAACACGCCAGCTGCTATTACTTATAAATAGGCTACTGCAGTTGGATTGCTTCTCTGCAAGACTCTCTATTAGGCTTATCTATAGTCTGAGCCCTAATACACTGATGTCAAACACTCTGGAGTAATAAAAGACATTTTCCTTGAACTATTCTGTGCTCTGAGATATCAGCCCCACTGACACTGGAACTCTTATTCCAGCAAATTACACAGCTGACTCCTTTCACCGCCAGTTCTCTGCTTGTGACTGAGACAGAAAGGTTCTGGAAGGAAAAAAAGAAAAAAAAAAAGTTTCTGAGCTACCCACAAAATCATTAACGAGTAAAAATACTAGCCTTGTCACAAGAACCAGCAAAATACTTCTCTGATAGTATATTGCTACTGTAAAATTGCTGTTTACTAATTTGTACCATCTTTCTTCTTCTCTTTTGGGGCTTTCTTGCCTGCTCTAAGATATACTTCTGAATTTATCTGGTGATGAAAAACAGACTTCTGGAGATACAAGTCTCCAAATCCATTCAGCAAAACTGTCCCAAGTCAATCAAATTGCTGACTGCACATCTTCCAAGAAAAGCAATGCCAAAAAGACCAAGGTCCAAGAACAAACCCACTGCCTTTTCCTCCTTAAAGGCATGAGAAACAACTAAGAGTGATCAGATCTGTGAAAACTTTGGATTTAATTATCTGTGGATTTACCTTCCTTCTATGATTACTTTGTATAGAGACTTTTATAGAGATTTATTCTACAGGTCAGTGCCAGCAGCCTTGAATGAGGCATGACAAAGAATAATTTCTGAATATTAATGGAAAAAAGAATAATGCTAACACTGCTTCCATTGCTAGCTACTGTCAATGTATTTCACACACCCTGTACATAAACTAGAAGCGAGATGGTCTCACTACTGCTTTCCATTTAAACCCTATTTAAAACTTTTTCTAAACAGCTGGTTCAATTATTTAAGTAAAATATGAAATTACAGTACCTGTCCTAAGTCAGATTCTAACGGCTGAGGAAATTCAGCCTGTGGTCTGACTGTTCGCTGCCTCGTTATGTCAAGTATTTTGTCCTCTTTCTTTAAAGCTGAGTCCACTAAGCGATGGACTGAAGTCCACATCTGGCCACATGCAGCCTTTGGATACCTTCTAACTTAGATACCTTGTCAGCCTATTTGGCAACAAGACATGTAAGAGGCAGCTCATAAAGGAAAAATCAAGTTTGAGTTTAACCTCCTACTTGCTAGTTTAGAAAAAACACAAGTGACAGTTGCTTAACAGATCAACTTTAACAGAAGCAACTGAAGTTACACGTGCATGCCTGACCTTGGATGACAGAACAACAAAAGAGGTTTATTTCTGCCAAAAACAGTCTGTCATATCTTTTGTACATGTGTCTCTTCAGATCATTTCAAGGTCTGCTTGCACAACAGCTTCAAGAAAAAAAACAGTGCTGGCAAGAAAAGTTTCATCCTGCATTAATGTGAAACAAATATGCTCCACTGAAAATACTGAATAGAGCAATGGGGTAAGCATTCTGATTCTCAGAATACTTACCTGAATCTAGAGGTGTTTTATCAGGAAAGCTGGAGAGGGTTCAAATCAATGCTATGAACAATCAAAATATATTCATTAATACATTAATTTACCTACAACTATTTAATTTGTTCCCCAGTGTTTAATGCTAGACCTTTCTTGTTCCCCTTCCCTGCTTTATTGGCCTACGTGGTGTCCAAAATGCATTTCAGCCTAGCCAGAGAAGGAATGCACTGCTGCACCTTTGCTTGCAAGGCAAGGTGAAGAAATGCAAGTGACAACAGAAGGATTCCAGAGTGCTTTCACTATGTCTGCTACAGCTGCCCTCTCATCTGTGAGGGCAGCAATTCACCCAGTACTGCATCACTGAAACATGGTGTGCAGCTAGCACCCTTGCTAAATTAAATATTTACAAGCTTGTTTCCAAGTCCCTCCACCTTACAGAAAATACAGCAGCAAATACGCAGAGGAGAGAAAGAGACCAGCAGGAATGAAGTTAATTTATCACTGGCAGTAAAGCTTACCAGGAAAGAATCCCTTTCCCCCGCTAACTTGAAAACATTGAAGTGTTTTGATCTGTTCAGCCAAAACAGATCAGCAAGGGGATGCATATGGGGACAGTGTGTCACATAAACACATTTCAAGTAAGTGGATGGCGTATGGTTTACCTTAATGAGCTGATTGTTCTTCACATAGTGCAAAGTGTTTGATCTATTGCCACCAGCAACAACAGGGGGGTAGGCCAAGATGTCAGCACCACGAGCTCGGCACTCAAATTCAAACTGGAAGACCAATTCGAAGAGGAGGAGGTTGTTAGTGCTGATCCTGGTGATTAACTGCCCTGGAGCTATGATTCATGATTCATGTCCTGCAAGTCTTTTTTTTAATTTGTACAACGCAAAGTGAAACTGTGAAGTGACTTCATCACGTGGAAGCAGCCTAGAAAGTTTCCCAGAGCATTGGAGGAAATACCACAGAACTATCCATTCTTCAAGAGAGCATTTTAAACCTACACACAATCTCACAGAAGCTCTCCCTGGTACAGGCATACTGTTTCAGAAATTCATTATGTTATCATAAATCCAGGTGAGAATTTGATCCTACATAAAGTTTCACTGTTAGCTGCTGTAAAGGTTTGCAAATTACCCATGAAGACAACAGCTGTGTTTTGATGTTTAGTGTATTTAGAGCAGTAATGAATAAAAAGGTTATAAAGCATGCAAAAAATAGATTTTAATTCAAGAGCTTTACCTTTCTTCAGAGATAAGCAGATGAAATGAATAAACTTGTCTATAAAGCCCCTCTATATCCTCAGCATACTACTAGCTTGTCTTTTCTGTAATTAGCAAAACCCCATAGGACAGAATACTCCAGAATGCCTACATGTAATGAAGAAGGTTTTATGATCCTGATGTGGAGTGGGAAACTGAGCTGTAAAATACACTAAAGTTAAAATTATTTTCTTTACAAGTTGGACGTGTGTCTCAGTGCCAACTCAGCACAGGCCCATCTGTGTCAGAATGGAGGGTCAAATCCTGCCGACATAACTGAAACATGCATCTCACTGCATTTCCTTACAAAATTCCTTGCCAAATGTGCAGGCAGGTGTCTACACTGCTTCAAGACAACGGTGGCAAGCTGATGTAATGAGAGGCTAGAGTAAAGAGAAGCAGGCTTTACAAAATGATCTTATATGCACTTCCATTTTGTGCAATAGAATTGTTTTACAGAATACAATGAGAACTGTGTCTCCAGTTTTGGTTAGCTGGTTTTGTGGGTATGGTAGAAAAGGACATCAATAGCAGATAAATTTAGACCTTCAGTAAAGGTGGGGAGAACACTGCTAAGGAGTTCCTCACACTTTGTTGCAAAAGCTGCAGAAGTTCCTCAAAAGCAGACACTACACTGCTAACAAGTTACACATGAATTAGATACACTCTTCTTCAGATGAGAAAGGTGAAATTCTTCTGCATACAAAAGTGAGAGATTCCACTGAAGTGTTCTCCCAGTCATCCCAAGCAGCCTCCCAGCTAGGAAGAGCTCCTTCAGTAAATGAAAATTTGCTTTTTTCCTGTTTTTCCACAAAACTCCAGGCGTTTGGTTTTTTTCCCCCCTCCCTCATTGCCTTGGTGATAGTTTGTAAAAAGGATAGTAGAAAACAAACTGCATTTGATTTACACAGGTAACAAAATCACACACCTTAAGGGAAGTAATTTCTTGAAACTCACAGCCCTCTATTAAGCAAAAAGCAGATAACTAAAACATAACAGCAGCTTATTTCCTTTCTCAATTATCATATCTGCTGCACGATCTATCATCAACAGAGAATTATCTTTACTGCAGATATGATCTCTCTGCACATTCAGTGAGGAAGATCCAAATGTCCGAATTCTCACTTATTGTGGATGGAAAGGGTAAAAAAAAATTCCTCAACTGAAAGCTTACGTTCAAACTCAGGATTTTTCATTTACTAGGCTAGGACCTATGCATACTGATAGCTCTGGAGACATAGGGCACACTTTGGACTCTTGTCCATGAGACACACTTACTCAAACACAGATGTAGCCAACCCTCTCTTTTACAACTTTTCTGGAATTAGCTGTTATATTTTGTCTCACCCTTTATCTCTTATTTTCTTTAGGCCTCCTCACTCATGGCTTTCTTTTGCTTTTTCTCCCACACAGAAACTTCCCTCACACAAACTGCACTCCTTTAACCAGATCTTCATGTAGTAGCTTCCCCCCATTGCTGACGGGATTACTTTTGTGTCTTGCCCCAACACTGAAGGTGCTCTGAAGAATCAGAGCAGCATCTTCAAAGAGGAATTAGCGAAGAAGCTTACTTTCCAGTTCACTTTACCCATCCCCCACTTTTTTTTTAAATGCCTTTAAATTCATAATAATCATTTGTGGAGCTTTGACTCCATCTTTATTGACTTTTGGAAATAAAGGCAACAAACAAAAGACCTCCAGAAAGAATATTTTGTCCTCAGCATAAGAGCACTGAACTTTGGAGCCCACCTATATGTGAGAGAACAGTTCTAGTATGGCTACCAGGTACAAGAGATATACCTGTAGGGAAGGGAAAACATTTTTGCTATTACAAGCTCTAAATTCAGATTCTGTTGACATCTCCAAGCACAGTCCAAAACAATCTGCTGCAACAGTGCAACTTTTCTTAAATCAAAAGAGTTGTTCAAACAAGGCTACAGTTCTTGACTGAGGGGAGTTCGGGGTATGCCCAAGGCACCATGAGAGTTGGGTGAAAGAGAAATACGTATTTCTTTTTCATTATAGGGAGATTTGACATTCCTAGTTTCCTGGAAGAGTAAGAAACATTTAGCCCTTCCATCCCACCCCCAACAATGACACACTCACCTTTGCATACAGAAAGGCTTCATCCACTGGAGATTTTCTGGCAAACATTGTCTCTATGAAAGCCTATAAAAATAAACAAATAAAAAGGACCTTTCAGTTAGTAAAGGACCTGCTGTTACCTGCTGTCTTTTGGGGAATACCTAAAAATCAGCTGTCTCCTTGAAAATAACGGAATAAACGGAGAAGAAAATAGCACGGGGAAGGAGAGGAGAAGTTGAGGAGAAGGTACAAGGGGCACCACTGTTCCTGAATAAACACAACTTTAAAACAGAGTCTAACACCTGCTGGCTCATTCTGGATAAAGTTACGTTAATTGAGAGAAGAGACATTAATTGAGCTGTCTTCTTGGGTCTCCTTGTGCAGAGGGTGCTGAGCCAATAGTTGAGAACCAGCAGTTCAGTAACTAAGATCAGATCTTATCCTTCCAACCTAACTCACGCTGTAACACCCTCTCTGCTTTCTTGTGTAAAGGAATACAGTGGTTCTTTCTGAGAGTACACAGCTGCGTACCTCCGATGTCACTCGTCCAGCTATTTTCATCCTCTCAATCTCTGCAGGAGATTTGATCAGCCGAAGGTTTTGCACGAGATGCCGGATGCCTTGGATGTGATTTTTGCTCCGAGCTTTTATTTCAGCCAGGGGCTGCATATAGTCAGCGTGCAGTTCTTTATGCACTGGTTTAGTCACATCATACCACACCTTGTTTGACTCACCTGGAATACAAAACAAATATTGATGCAGATGAAGATAAATTCAGAAATTCTCTCCTCATACGTACAAAATCACCCCCCCTAAGCTACATCTGTAGCTGCCCTGGTAATTTTCTCTGAATATGTATTTACAGATCATATGTTTGCTGTCAGATAAAACCAGATGCCTAGTCAATGAATACAAATATGTTATAATTATGACATAAACAAGAGAGTTTGGCAGAGTGAGTCACAATATCAAAAAGAGCACAGATAGAAAGCTTACCCACACCCTGGGCTTACTACAGAACTCCAAAGAAGGCATCTCCAGAAGAGATCCTTCCCCACTGGCAGCCAGCTCTTAAATGGGTCTAGGAGAGGTGGAGCCTGGCTCCACCCCCTTCCGGCAGCACAGGTGAATTGCCTTCAGCTGTGCTCCTCTGGCTGACTCATTGCTCGCCTCAGGTGATCCATCAGAGGTTCAGGCCGTGACTCAGCAGTTCCCATACACCAGAGATCACTTTAAAATCCAGAAAATTAGCAATGCATAACATGTAGATTTGACAAATCCCCATTTGTATGCAAATATTGGGTTTTCTGATATCACTGATCTTGCACAGATAAATGTAGCTCGCGTATCAAAATTGTGGTGGTGTAGGCAACCAAGTGCACTGCAGTGGGACATGTTTTGAATCTTTCTCTCATTTATCCTCTCAGTTATCCACTGCACGGAATCAGGGTCATTACTGACCATGTTTCAATATATCTTTGGTGAGCAACTGCTTATTTCAGCCATTTACAGGAGATGAACTTCCTGATGGCAAGGATATTTACCTATGTGAAAATTTATTTATCAGTCAAAGATGTCAGTCTAAGTAGAACTTTCTGTGAATAGGCCAAATGCGGAATAATAGGCAGGAGCAGCAGAACTGCCTCTTACTTGTACAGACCAACTCTCAGTTTACAAGTCACTCAGATCAGTAACTGAGGTCATGTGGGACAGAAGGTGGGAGTTCATGTTGGCTAGCTTTAGATGCCTAATTTAAGATCCTGCATCTTTTTTACAGTCACCCAAGAGGGATATATTACTTCCAATGAGAGTATCTTAAAGCACTTACATGAGACCTCCTTGCTTCCATCACCAATACAGGCTCACAGATTAGGTATTTAAGGGAGGAGCCTACATCTATTTGGCACAGTTTCTTCCCAGAACTATTCAGATGTACTTTTCAGACCCTACAACCCATACCTCATCTCATCCCCCCTTCATTTTTGTTACCTTTCAGCTTGGCCACCAAGTGCCCGAACTCCTCAATAGTGTAAGCTTCATCTACTCCTGTCAGAGCGATGGCCCCATCTGTGCCTGACCTGGGCCCATCCCACAGCTCTCGGCTCGGATCTCTCCGGGGCACAAAAAGCATGGCCTTGTGAGAGGGCAGCGCTTTGCCAGGAAGGCTCTGCAGCACCAGGATGCTGTCAGGTTCCTGGAACCCACAGAGATACAGGAAGTTCGTGTCCTGGTGGAAAACGTAGGGGATGTCATTGCTCATGTAGTACATGGGGTTGGACAGCAGAATCACTGTGTGGTCCAATCCTTCCCAACCTTGGGCTTCCTTCTGGATCAGTGTCATCAGTTTGTGCCGGCGAAGAGAATATTCCACCTGTGACAAGCCTGGGGTTACCTCCCCTACAACCAAAAAAAAAATACAAATCAGAACAAAAATTCAAGTTCCTCGTGATATTTTACTAATCACATGCCTGATTTCTGCTTGCTTCCTGAGGCCTTTTGTATGCATGGCTTCACTGCAGTCCCTGCTAGCCTTTCCATTGCTCTCTCTTACATCTTCTCAGCACTCACCCCTGCAGCACATCCTTGCTTACTCTGCTCCTCCACTGTGCAAAGGGGAGGAATTTGTTTTAAACGCTTAAGATTTTCTTGATATACATTTCTGTGCAAAGGCAGAAATCACAGAACCTGGCAGATCCAGACAATCAGCCAAAGCATTCCGTGAAGAGCAGTTTGGTAGGAGTGATTTTCAGAAAGATAAGGAAAAAAGAAGAAGGCAAGACAAACTGAACTTTGCTGAAAACAGATTGGATTTTTATAGCATTTGGACATTGAACCAAAGATTACCTTCTTACCCTGAGCACTGATTTCCTCAGACAAAGCTGGAATGTGTTCAAATACACACTAAGTCAACTCATAAAGTAACTAGTCCTAAAGCCTAAGGGGCAGACTGAGAGTTAGATACAGGGAGAGGAGTCAGAAACACAGAGGTTCTCCCTACAGGTTTCCAAGCAGAAGGAAACCACGACCCACAGGCTGGCATCACTCTGATTAAGAGAAGGAATCTTTTCTGAGGAAGATGTAGCTGCTCTCAATGATTAAAGACCTGGATTTTTCTGAAGCTAAATATTATATTCCAGATGACTCTAAACAAATGTTTCCTTTGATGAAAGTCTGTTTCACAGTGTACCAGTCACAAAGGACAAGAAGTGAAGCAACCAAGAGATCACCAAAAGCGGACTGAAGTCAAAAGAACCACCAACAGCTGTCTAAGTATATATTTTTAAGAACTGAGATTTCTTAACTGTGCTATAGACTAAGACATGAAACTTGTCAGTGCTTTGGCTAATATCCTATTTTAACATAGGATTTAACATAGATTGCATTTTCATACTGCTAAGTTATAATTTCATACACTCCTTAAGGTATTGGCAATTATAGGAAAGAAAATCAAAATTTGACTTTTACTGTAAATGGATTCTTGCATGAGTAGGACAAAAGGGGGAGGCTCTCTGCAGCATGTTTGTCTCTGACCAAAGGAAAAAAAAAGCAAAAGCGACACTTTCCATTTGCTTTCCATTAGACTTTACAGCTCGGTACTTGGGATAGAAATTTTCTTACTTTGTTTTATCCATAGATGTAGAATGACACAGAATACAGAAACTGTTCCAGTGCAATCTGATCCCACATTTCTGCAATATTATACTGCATATTTCTTATGCTCCACTGCGTTCCTGTCAGCTAACTACTGCAAATTGCAAACAGTCCAGTAAACTGCAATAGAGTGGAACCTGGGAACCTCAGCTGCCTTCCAACCATGAGGCCTGGAGTCTCTTTGCTTTAGGCATTTTCTTTTAAAATTAATAACTGCAGCACAGCAACGTCATCTTATTTCTGTAGAAAGGCTGAGAGTCCTGGGACTGTTCGGCCTTGAGAAGACTGAGAGGGGATCTTATCAATGGGTGGGAGTCAAATGGATGGGGCCAGGCTCTTTCCAGTGGTGTGAATAGAACGAGGGGCAGTGGGCACAAATTAGAACACTGGAAGTTCCATACAAACATGAGGAAGAAATTCTTTACAATGAGGGTGACAGAACACTGGAACAGAGCGCCCAGACCGTGGAGTCTCCTCTGGAGATATTCAAAACCCTCTTGTACTCTTTCCTGTGCAACTTACTCTAGGGAACCCACTTTAGCAGGAGAGTTGGACTTGGTATCTCCAGAGGTCCCTTCCAGCTCTTAAGATCTGTGTTCCATGAAAGTAATTCCTCCTATTTTATTGAGTTGCTCCATGACGCCAGAGGTGAATGGTGGTGGTACAGCAGTAGATGTTGAACCTTCTCACCAATATTCTGTTACATTTTGTTGCTGTGCTACAGTGGGCAGCAAAGGGACATTCTGACAAAATGGTGTCTGCTATGGAAGAGCGCATGAAGCAAAGGTGTGTTATTGAATTCCTCCATGTGAAAAAATGGCACACGCTGACATTCATTGATGCTTGTTGAACGTTGAACAAAGTGCTGATGTGAGCACAGTGAGGTGGAGGTGGGTGGTGGGTGGTGCATTTCAGCAATGGTGACAGTGACATGCAAGACAGGCCATGCAGATTTTTACAAGTGCAGCATGCGGGCTCTTGTTCATTGCTGGTGAAATTGCATCACTAATGGTAGCGACTATGTTGAGAAATAGTGTTTAATTGAGAGAATTTACTCTATCAAATAGTGTTGTTGTGCCCTTTGTATCTGTTGCAGTTTCTAGGGAAATAAATAGGAGGCATTTCTTTCATAGTACTTTAGGCTTGACCTACATGTTAATTTAAGCTAATCATAAACAAATGAAATCAACAGACACACATACAATGCAACAGAACAATATTCTGTCCTAAGCACCACAGAAAAGCAGAGAAAAGAAAGAATACCAGTGACTGAATCATGCTGAGCATGAACCTAACCTGGTTTGAGTAGGTGCGGGTGTGTAAAGGGGCTGGGCTGGCCCAAATATCGGTTTGGAATCTTCTTCTGCTGGGCTGGCTGGATGGAGAATCTCCGGAGAACACATGACTTGCAAACTACAGGAAAAGAAATGGACCATGTCAAGGGAAAAGAACTTTCCAATCAGAAAACTTCAGAATTACAATCAACTGACCTTACTCCTAGTAGCATTTACTTACCTCGTATCACAAAAATATCCCTATTACACTTTCCAATATGTTACGTAGTCAGACTGAAAGCAGTTTCTCAGAAGTATGGCTGCATATCCCATTTCCAAACCCACACAGAGCCAAGTAGGCAATTTTTAAAAGGAATTACATTTGTGAATTGCACTTGGGAGCTGTGGGAGCGCACAGTAAGACAAAAGCTAAAATTAAACACAGTTGTAACAACTTCACCAACTTTGGATTTCTGTCACAGCTGATGGAGATGGCAATGAGCCTAATGGCTGATGCTCAGAGAATTGTTTGCCTTTTATTTTGCCTGCCACACTAGTTTGTGCTGCTTTACCACAGTACCAGGTTCTGAGCACAGACAAAACCAACTCTTCATGAGCATAAGCAGGTCTGAAGCTGCCTCACACAGCAACACGACTCAACTGAGAGCTGCTGGGGAAGCAGCGTGACACCACTGACTGGGGTTACTTACAGAGCATGACCGATAATCTCAGCTTGAAGCACTCGCTGTGCAATGACTGACTGGAATAACAGCCCAGAGATCCAGGCCAGGAAGTATAGTTACAGACCTAACTGCAAAAAATGGAGTTTTTCCAGCATCTTTATCTACAGAGAGAACTACCAAGTATCTCGCCACAGGACAACACAACAGGCGTTAAATAAAGCAATACTATAAAGGCATTAGGAAGCTTTCCAAATCGTCGTTTTATTTCCCGAACAGCGGTAGCTTCGGCTCCAACCGCGCCTGTGACCCCACACCCCTCCCACCCACCGCAGCGCCCAGCAATAACGCCCGACAGCGCGGCAGCGCCAGAATTGGCAGGGCCCAGAGGCACCGAATCACTGCGGAGGATTCTCTGACCTGCGACGCCGCGCCAGCCCCTCACCGCCGCCAGCAGGCGCGACATGGCCGGGGGGGGGGCCTTCCCCCAGTGCGGCGCCGCGCCGTGACCGCATCAGAGAGCGCCACGCCACCATCTTAGGCGCCCGCCGAGGCCGCCTGCGCGGGGCCTGAGGGGCGCAGCCGGCAGCCGTAAGGTTGAGCCGGCAAAAAAGGCGGGACGGCGCGCTGAAAAGGCGTGCGACCCCTCACAGCCCACCCAACAGCCACCCCCGCTTCTAGAAAGTTCCGGCCGCCGCGCGGCGGAGGGGCGTGGCCTTGGGGGCGGTGGGCGTGGCTTTGGAGGGCGGTGGGCGTGGCCAGCGACCGGGCTAGGAGCTTCCGCGGCGCCGCGCGGCGGTTGGGTAGGGGAACGGTTGGGTGTTTGGAGCCGTCGTTCTTTGCTCCGCCACCATGGACTCGCGTAAGCTGAGCGAGCTGCGGGCCTTCGTCAGGCTGTGTAAGCAGAACCCGGGCCTGCTGCACACCGAGGAGCTGGGCTTCCTGCGCGAGTGGGTGGAGAGGTCGGTCATGGGCAACCGTGGGGAGCGGGGCTGGGGAGAGGGGGGGGGCGTGCCCGGTCATTAGCGGGGGGTGGGGGGGCGGCGCGGCACGTGGCGGCTCGGGGCCCCGCCGCGTGGCTGAGGAGGGGGGCGGAGGGGGCGCGTTGCAGTGGTCGCGGGTTCGAATCCCGCCGTGGGGCGCGTAGAGGCACCGACCCCTGCGTGCCTGAAACTGCAGTCCGCTCTCCTCACGGCGGTGCCTCAGCGCAGGGCCGTCCTGGGGCTTTCTCAGATCTGGGCGGGAACCTGGCTGTGCGTGTGTGTGTGCGCGCGAACCCAAACAGTGCTACTGCACGGCGTTCCACGCTGCTCCAATGAATTATTTATTTCGGTTCTTGTGCAGTGATGCTTGAACTTTTTCATGCGTCTTGTGCGGTTGTGGGAATATTCCTACTTCACTCTGCTTGGCTGTGCGGTGCCCGCAGCACACGTGCATAGGAAGGAAAGGTGCAGAGTGCTTGAACCTGCTGCGGGCCCTCGGTCCCATTGCTAACGTGTGGAACCTCGCCCTGGGTTACATCCATCCCTCGGTTGTGCAATTCTGGGTGTTTTGGGGCGGAGGAAGAGAACGCTGCTGCCTTTGGCCAAAAGAAGCGTTAGGGAATAGAGAAACGATCTCCGATTTCTCATTTTTTCCATGCAATGCAGAGAGCTCTACTGTCCAAAATCTGTTTTCATAGAGGCTCTTTCTGGTTTTGCTCATGTATTTGAGCTAAATATTTGATGAAATTGTGCACTTGGGAATGTGGGGACGGTGGTCACAAAATTACATTTCACGTGGCGTTCTGGCAGTTTGGTGAGCTGCCCTCCCTTCAATTACAGGCTCTTGTAGGGTCTCCCCTTTCTCTGCAAATGGCCTGAAGCTCGTCACTGCCTGGCTTCAGGTGGGAGCAAACCCGATGAGTCTTCTGTCTGTCAGTTTATCAGTGGTAACCTATAATTATATAGGTTAGTCACCAAGGCGATGTTGCAAGTGGTTACAGAATAACAATTAAATACTAATAAAATTCTGATTTATTTTTGTTTTTCTTAGACTCCGTAGTTTGTGAAATAGCACATATGAAACTGTGGGTGATCTGTATATGTTAAGTGCATCTCATAAGAATTCAGAGCTTGGCTGGGGCCTCTTTTGGGGTATGAGGAAGGTAGAGGAGACTGACCGAGTGCTTTTGGTCTTGAACAAGGTGCCAGACTAAAATGAGCTGATCTTGAGCCCTGTAATTTGGAATTGTTCCAGAAACCAAATCTTTTAGCTCAAGCTGTTCTTAAATATATGACTGAAAGGTGGGAAGGCTATTGACCTTCTTGAATTGGAAGCTTCGGTCTTTGTCTAGTAGGTATAGCCAGTAAGCCAGGCTTTGAAGAAGTCTTACTGGGTTTTTTGTTGTTGTTTTAGTTGGGTCTGTTAGACGGATTTATTTTATTTGTGAGTCTTGTTTCTGAAGTTGTCATTTCTTACGGATGTGCAGCCAAGGGTCATCCAGACGATCCCCGTGATGGCCAGTTCTTGAATTGCTTTCTAAGAAAGGGTTATGGAATTGTATGCCTTACTATTGGCCTGCAATGGTTAAATAATAATTAAAAAAAAAAAAAATAGGAGGAACAGTTACTACATATAGTGTAATTTTTGCCTGGCTCTCCAGTGATTTATCAGATTGCAGTTGTGCAGTTCTTGGAATATGATATAGATTACGCAAGGGCAATACACCGGAGGTGCGTGCACATTTTTGTTATAGCTTCCCAAGATGCTGTTTGTTTGTTTGTAACTTGTGACTTTTTTCTTTTTCTTGAGATCAGTCCTGATGTATGACCTGTCCATCCTGCCATCTACCTTTCTCTTGCTCTTTCTCCACAGACTGTGTCCCATCTGGGGTTTTCAGCCCTTTGAAAGCCCCCTTTGGGGCTTGACTGTGAGCTGATGCCATGGGGGGGGAGGGGAAGGCCTGACTTAAGAAGCTGTAGGATCTCAATGCTAGGATGTAATCTAGTTGTGCTGATTCCTCAGACCAAAGTCCTGTGCCCTTCTGGGTCCTCCTGCATGTGTGCCCACTTCATTCGCCACTGTGTCAAACCAGTTGTGTGGTTCCTCATTGAGCTGGTTGAACCCATTGAGATGCTGGACACAAATGTAGTTGTTTTTTTCCTTTTGGAATATCCATAGCCAAAGCAATCAAGAACTGTCCGAAGAAGAATGTAGAGCAGAGTGATGGGTGGAAAAGTAGTCCTTGGAGCAGCCTGCCAGTAGATATGATTAGATGTTATATGAAACAGCTGGAGAATTCCACCTGTGCTTATTTCTGGCTGCTAAACCAAGTCAATGTAATATAGAAGCTTATTCTATATTGAGGGAATACTGTCTATACAAAGAATGCTATTTAATGGGTAGTGGGAGAAAGTCACGGATATTGAAATGCATAAAAGAAATGAAATGGTTTTTTTGGCAGCATTTCTTAAAAATTATATAAGCGTTTTAGGTGAGAAAAATATCATGGTAATAGATATTTTTTAGTTCTCTTAAATGTTTTGATCTGTTTCAAAAATAATTATAATTTTAATGGGAGCTATTATAAGAATACCTTGTTGTGAATTGAAAAAAAAATAAACTTGCATTTTCAGGGGAAAAAAAGGTTGTTTCAGCCAGAAGGCAGCTTTCCTTTGTGAGAAAGGGTGGTGTGTGATACACATGAGTACAGATTATGGTGGAGACCCAATGTTCATTGCACTGCGCTAGGGAAAATACGGTTCATGTGTACTTTTTAATTGCTTTTACAGTGAATTGGATTGTTGTATTTTTTGTCATAACAGAAGGCTGAGATTATCAGCAGGACTCGAGTCAATAAAATACTTGGCATTGTTTTGTTAATCTTATTGTCTTTTCTTTCCCTAATTTGCTGAAAAGCATGGGAGGCACAATACCACCTGCTCCAGCCAGTACTTCCACAGATGGGACAAGTAAGGTGAGATGTGAAGAGTTTGTACACGATAATGTTTGGACATTGCAAAAAATGATTGGGCAGGAAGAGAGAAGCAAAAATTGCTGCTAAGTTTTACCCAGACAGTGTGGGTGAATGCACGGGTGAATAATTTTGGGAGGTAAGACTGAAGTCTGCTCCACTGCATCGTGTGGGTGACGGTTTGTTACGGATGGCTTTCTAGTTTGTTTCAGTTGTTATCATGCTCCATTTCCTTAATCGTGAATGCCTGATGTTCTCAACAGTGCAAATGGCATACGAAGTGTTGATTGCTCCTTTTTATGCAGTCATTACCAGTTTATAAACCTCTTATGTAGCCATTGCTGGCTCAAATTATAACTTCACATGACAAGAAGTACTTGCAAGCATGATAGGTGGTAAAGAGTTGAATTGTCAATTTTTGAAGACAGTATTGTGGAAAAGGTTATTTTTTTCAGGAGAGATAATAAATTTGGCTTTTAGATATTCATAGGAGAATTGCCTTGAGTTTGAAATTATTTTTGGGAAAAGCAGAATGCTTATTTTGGGATTAGCAGGACAGTGGGTACTGAAGTTACTGGTTGATAAGAACTGAACTCTGTCGGGGGTTGTTTATGTGTAGTGAGTATAGTCTGTGGCCCTGAAAGTACAAACACAGCTTCTGCCTGTCATAAAGGAGGATGTGCTGTATGATGGGATGCAGAGGAACATACTCAAATAGTTGGAAGCTGATAGGAAAATGTTTGAAAGAATATTGTGTGTGTAAATAGCAAATATCTCTTGACAAATAAGAAAACAAATTTTAATCATTGATGCTAGCTTATTGTTCCCTATAGAGGACCTTAGCTTAGAAGTATTAGGTTGAGAGAATTTTTCATCCAGATGATGCATCTGGAAGATTGCAAGGGCTAGTTGGTATTCATTGCAAGACTGAATTGGGTATTATCTGAATCATTTTGTTTTGATTATTGAATTATACAGTCTGAAAGACTGGCTTTACCAATAATAGAAGTTCCTGAGTCAAGATCTGGGCTTTGAATTATTTGCGTGCATGATAGACTTAGAAGAGGAAAAATGGAGATCTGTATCTGGAAAATAACTGTTTAGCCTTAGAGCAGTCGTATTCTTTGAAGATTGGTTCTGGATTTTTCAATGCCTTGCTATTTATTAGAGTGGGAGTAGAATCTCAGTCAGAAATACACACTTACAAATGCATTTCTTTTTCAGGGTAAAGCAGAAGAACAGCCAGAGGAACCAGTGAAATCTCCTGAGCCAGAAAGTGAAGAGAGTGACTTAGGTGTGGAAGACAGTTGTCGTTATCATGGTTAGAACATGATTCTGGAAGTCTCTGTAAATGTAGTCTAAATTTGCTTTTTATTTTTCCCCCAGAAATTGACAATGAGGGAGTGATTGAACCTGATAATGATGACCCTCAAGAAATGGGAGATGAAAACGTGGAGGTAAGCATAAATCCTTCAATGGCTGTTGCAGCAGGAAAGAAGGGGAGAGGCTTTGAGTTTAGTCAAGAATAACAATCAAGGGGGGAGAATTAGTACTACCCATTAGCACTAATAGGTATCCAGCTGCTACTTTGAGTCTTCTAGTTGAAATCGTGGTGACTAATATCTCCAAGATGGAAGCAAAAAAAAGAATGGTATTTTTATACTATGATTTAAATCTAAATTAAACACAAACTTCTGAAGTCAGAAAGGTGCAGCTTCCTTTGGTGCTGTCTCAGTGTGACGCTTCCAGCCTGGACTCCATAACCTTTGGATTTCTTCTGTGCGTTCCATTCTGTTTGCTTATTTTCTTAGGTAACTGAAGAGATGATGGATCAAGCTAATGAGAAGAAGATGGAAGCTATCAATGCCTTAAGTGAAGGTGATACATTGTTTGTTTGTTTTCTAGTACATATTAAGGGACATAATGCTTGATGCTCCTTTTAAATACAACAAAAAGAAACAGACCTTAATAAAGTGTCTTAGACCATTGCAAGCACCTCCAAGAAGCAGAAAGCTTACTTCGTATTAGATACCGAAACTAACTAGAACATGAAAGCTTTTTTAAGTACAGTCTTCCCCATGTGGCTGTAATTTGGGGGAAGTATTGCAGCACCTTAATAATACATCAACCACTATAGTAGTTCCCTGTGTATTATTAATGTCTCTAGTGGTTTGTCTTGATGCAGTGGAAAGCTGCATAATAAAGAGGTGGCTTCCTATGTGACTGCACATGAAGTCAAATGTACAAACATAACTCTGAAAGGACACCCTCTCCTCATGGTTCCAGAATTCACTTCGAAGTTTGTTCTTCAGTAATGTGGCAAGGATGAAAAATTGATTTTTCCTTTGATAATGTTCCATTCAAGACATAGCTGGGGAATAGCACCACGTAAGGTGTGTTTGGCCTGTTGGGTGTCGTTGCTGCATAATGATGGAAACTTCACTGGTGCTCTTTTTCAGGTGAACTTCAGAAGGCTGTCGATTTGTTCACAGATGCTATCAAGCTAAATCCTTGTTTGGCTATCTTGTATGCCAAGAGAGCAAGGTAAGTCATGATAAACTAGTGATGTATGTTTCTGTCCCAAACTTAAATCAAGTCTCCGTTTGATTTATGTATGGTTGTTGCTTTTTTGTATTTTTTTTATCTGTTTGGTAGGGGCTGGTGAAACAAACAATACATTGTATACTCTGTGTAATTAAAGTATGGTAGTAAATACAGCAAGTTAGTGAGTTAATTATTCAGAATCCAAAGGCTGTGGTACTTCACACAGTGTTTTTTTTATTACTTGTATTAACAAATTAACAACAGGAAGCACCTATTTCTGATCTATTATTGAGTAGTCTTCTGAAGGATGGTCCAAGTCTTAACACTCAGAGCACTTACAGCAGGTCAGTCCAACAGCACACCTCATCCAGCCTTCTGTCGTTGTCAGTGGTTAGCAGTCGCAGGTGCCTGTAGGATAGAATATGAAAACAAGGCAAGAGGGGTGATACTCCTGCAGTTTTTTTCAGCCTTTGATTCATCTCATAGGATTGTTTGAAGCAATATCTTTATACTTAATAGCTCCTGATGGCTTTTTCTTGTCTTGCTGTGATGATGTCAGTCTCCTCTTGGAAAAACAAATTAGTATTTGCAGTGTTCTCTGGCAAGGAGTTTGAAAGCTTAACTAAATTAATTATGTGATTCTTTGTTTCTTGCCTTGAATTTGTTGTTTCATTTGCTTCCTACTGATGTATAAAGGAACTAGGACTCTTTAAAGGTTTCTTGTTCTTGGTCTCCCTACTACCTCTGATTTTTATAGACTCAAGTTGTAGTGTGTTTTTTTTGTTTGTTTTTGGATATATTTTCTGTTGCAAGCTATAAGGTCCGAATCTCCTTCCTTGTACAGAAGGAAGCAGCTCTGTTCTTAAGATGATGCTGCTGTTCTTGGACCTTTTTTCAGTTCTTTTACAGCCGCTTTTGAGGTGGAAGAACCAGACCAGAATTTCACAAAGTATTCAAGTTGAGGTCCATTATAGGTTTAGACAGTGATGTGGTTATTTTATATTTTGATTACAGTCTTTGTTTTTTTGACATTTCTGTATTGAGAAGTTTAAGAAACTGTTAACAAGGTGTTGAAATCAGTGTACAGTGCTGTATTAGTTGAAGAAATGCCTTTCATGGGGGCTTGGGAAGGCATGAGAATGTTTGAACCGAGACTCTGCATACACCATCAGAAGAGTGCAGGGAGCAGCTCAGAATGAAATTAGATTTTGAAGTTGATCAGGCTAAATGATGAAACAGTTGCTCATTTTGTGTAGGCAACTTAAAGCTGATATGCTGTTGTAGTTCCTTATTATTCTAATAATTGATCTGTACAACCAGTATGATAATTAGCTCTTTATCTTACTGTTATTTTAAAGACTATGGAATGTATAATGCTGCTAGCTTTGTTTTGTTCTACTTGCTAGTTGCTATTGTCTATAGATGGTAAGCAACATGAAATTGAATTGCACTTTGCATTTCTTTTTCACATGCATTAAAGTTGTTCTTGCTGGCAAGGCTCAACTCTGAACACTGAACTCTCCCACTTTTTGCTAATGATTCACATACCACTGTGGGGGGAAACTAAATTTCAGTGGCTGTTAGCACTACAAACTCTTTCTGAATGTAGCTTTTTCAAAAGCATCTCATTAGCCTGCCTGTTAGTCATCCAAAATTATTTCCAGCTTAAGTTAGTAACTTGGTATTTCAATACATACAATAAATGTTCTTATTCCCACAGTGTTTTTGTGAAACTACAGAAGCCAAATGCTGCCATTAGAGATTGCGACAGAGCCATCAAGATTAATCCTGACTCAGCACAGACTTATAAATGGAGGGGGAAAGCGCATAGGTAATAAACTGCAACTGATGTCAATGTTCTCTTACTTGGAGAGGAATGGTTTTGTTTGTGCTTTTCCTTTCTCTGTTTCTCTGTGAACTGTCAATTTTGTATGTGAAAGAAGTAGTCGTGAGCCAAGAGTCCAATATCTTAAGTGTATATCTTACAAGAAAGAAAAGATGGTGGTGATTTATTGATGGTGACTTAAGAATAATCCTGGCAACGTCTTTTATTTTTTTTTTTCCTCTAATAAGCAATCTTCTAATGACTTACTGTCATTCGGAAAATTGTTTTCTAATCATTTGCTAAAGATCAGGAGCTTTGGCAGCGTGGGATTTATTTGTGGCGTGGAGCCTAACTGAGAAGGCTGGAGCATGGTTTGGATTAATGTCTGTGTCTGTGAGATGAAGCACTGTGACCCCTCAGGAATGGCAGCATTCACTTAACTCTTTGATTATCACAAGTTTGTCTAAATGAATAAGAAGTAGTGCTGCACGGTAGTTTTGATAACTGTTGGGTTAAGACATGGTGCACTCAGGTAGGTAGGATGTTTAAATGCTGAGTAAATGTGCACTTACGCTGGATTTGGTAGAAGCGTAGACTTGTACAGAGCACTGAATGTGTAGCTTCACAGTGAGCATCTGCCTGGTTTTGCTGAGTGTTTATTGGTGTGCTTTATGTGTTTGGGTAGAGTAACCTCCCTTGGGAGACCGTTCTTGTTCATAGCAAAGAATGACATGAGCCCATTTCATTTTTCTTCCTGATTTTTACATCACACGAGAGTTACAGTAAAGATATGAAGCAAGCAAGCATACTCTTAATAGCATTACAGAGCACATATTACAGAAAACACAGTGATTATTAAATTTGGAACCATGTGGGTAGCTGTGGAAAAAGTTACCGAACGCTACGTGGTTGTAAGTGCACAAAACAAGTGCTAACTGTTTGCTTTTTGGCTTCTGAATGCTGTCTTCTGAATTCCAGACTTCTGGGTCACTGGGAGGAGGCTGCTCATGATCTTGCTCTAGCCTGTAAACTGGATTATGATGAAGATGCTAGCGCCATGCTGAAGGAGGTGCAGCCAAGGGTAAGTGGGAAGGTGATAATGGAGGTCCCTCTTTTTGTCTCGAGATTCTTGGGATATGCATGGTGCTATGGGAGCGTTCATGTGTCAGTGTTCACCTGACACTTCAAACTGAGTTTAGAAATGATCCTACCTTCAGTCACTGCTGTTTTAACTGTTTGGAAATGAGGTCCCTGGGACTAAGTATATAACCAAACAATGAAATGTTCCTTTTTAAAACCTGAACAGAAAAGTGTGATGTAGTTATCCAGCGATGTTATCACGGTGGTGATGGTTTTTGTTTTTATTTTTGCTGTTCTGGATTTTTTTCTTTTCCCCAAAACGTTTCCAAACTAATCAGAGCTTCATCCTATATGTTCTACAAAGGAAGCCTTCTTTGGCTGTGCTTTCATTTGTCTACCCCATGAGGGCAGCATAATTTCTTTGAGACCTACATTCAGTTTTCCCCAAGTGATTGATCTCAATACTGTTCTAATAAAGTGCTTGTGTAACATCTGTAAGAACATGGATTGTAGGCTTTCTTTCTCTTCTCTTTTACATGTTCCTTTGAAGCAATTCTTAGACCACAAGTTGCAGTTGATACATTGTACTGAGTTTACATTGCAAGGTCTGGAGGAGGGTGAGGATGGGAGTTTATACCTGTGGTTTGCAGAGCCAGTTCCAGCCAACTCCAAAAGTGGACCCGCTTCTGGCCAAAGCTGCGTCCATTGCAGCTCTGTGATGATGTGTATAAGAAAGGGTAAAACATGCTGTGCAGCAGCTGTGAGAAGGAAAGGAGTGAGGAAGGAGAGGGAAATAATCAGCTGCATAGACAGCAAGATCAGTGAAGGAGGAAGATGCTCCAGGTGCTGGTGCAGGGATGTCTATGCAGCCTGTGGTAAAGCAGGTTGTTGCCTTGGAGCCCATAACCTCACTGTTGCTCTGAGGGAAGATGCAAACTTTGAAAGGCCCCCTGCTTGGAGGCTCCTTGCAGGAACTACAGCCTGTGGCAGACCCAAGCTGGAGCATTCTGTTCCTGATGGAACGTACCTGCATGGAAACCTGTGTTGGAGCAGTTCATGAAGGACTGTGTACCACTGGAACAGAAGAAATGTGTGAGAAGGCGGGAGCAGCAGAAAGGAGCTGTTACAAGCAGGCCATGAGCCCTTTTCTCAGTTCTAGCTGTGCCACTTGGAGGGGACGAAGTAGAAGAATGAAAAGGTTGAAGTTGAGACTGGGAAGAAAGAAGGGTAGGGGAAGGTGTCTTTAGTTTTGTCATTGTTTCTTATCATTCTATTCTAATTGGCAGCAAGTTGAATTAGTCTTTCTCCAGTTGATTCTATCTTGCTAGTGACAGTCATTGGTAAGGCATTTCCCTGTTGTTGTCTTGACTCATGAGATTTTTTTCATTGTTTCTTTTCTCCTATTGTGGAGAGGGAACAAGAGTATGGCTCAGTGGGTATCTGGCAGTCAGCTGAGGTTAACCTGCCAAATACATAAGCGTTCCCATAGCAAGCAGCTCAAGTTTTCAGTCTTCCTGCCTTGCCTTTGCAGAAAACGCTCTCGCCAGCAAAACACCAACTGACACCATCTTACAAGCAATTAGTCTTCTGTGTCAGAGACTATTGATCTGTAACACATCTGCTAGATCTTATGTCTTGACCTTTTTTTAATAAGAGGTATACTTAATGATTTGCTGAGAGGGAACATGCACAGGAAAAGCAGAGTATGCCTGTGATGTGTTGAGACTTACTTGCTGGAGGTGTGCCAGTTTGTAGATGTAGCTTGAGGAAAAAAGTGTATGATTTTTCCATGAAGTGAAAATGTTGGTCTCTTCCAGCTGAACTATTCACCATCTTTTGCAGTACTTCTTAATTAAGTAGCACTTCTAGTTTGAGTTACGTTCTGAGAATGTTTAACTTACCCTGAGAAATACTTAAGAACCATGGAAGTTAAAACTTTAGGAACTTTTGTTAAACAAAAAAAGTAATGGAGCTATTTCATAGCTGTAGTATCACATTCTGATGGCATATACTGCTTTTGGTGTCAGTCCTGCTGCCTGCAGTGTGCATTCTGTGGCAGATGTACTTTGAGAAATATATGGTAGGAAATCTACATCTAATGGTTAAAGTAACTTGTATCAAAAGTCAACAACTTACAAATCAGTTATTCTTTTACAGGGTATTTTGAGGGAATAAAAGAGTATGCGTATGTAGGAAGGGCTTCCAGCTGTAGTTTATTCTAGTTCAGTACTTCTCTTCCTCAACTTTGACTTACAGATTTTACTTTTTTAAATTGCTAATGTAAGAGAATGTTAGAGTACCTGTGGTATATGGTATTGTCCTTCAAAGCTCTGCAAATTGTGAAATGAACTGCGTTTTGTAACAAAGAAGCATTCTGGTTTCAGGAATGGTGCTGCAGTTAGCGTTCAGTTATTAAGATGAGCCTGGAGCCAGGAGCTTTAAAGAGTTCATGGTTAATGAGTCTCCTCTGGAGCTGGGCTGTTGTTACCTTTGAGAAGAAGACAGGAAACAAACTTGCTCCCACCTGCCCTCCCTTGCTTTGATTCAGATGTTCTTTGGCCTGCTTAAGACTGACTGTGTATGCTGCACCTGGAACAGCAGTAGCACTATCTTCCAAGTGTGTCTGCAGGAGGAATTACACTTCCTGTTATTGTGCCAGTGAAAACTCCTTTCTCTAGGGGTGATTGCTGGTGTTAGCCTCGTAGAAATTAATATTTCAGCACAAAGGCAGGAAGGAATGTGGAACTACTAAATGTTAAAGTTCTAACTTTAACATTTGTACGTTTAACACAACGTAGGTCCTAGAGCTTTACAGGAAAAAACATACTGGAGTGAAGTGCGTGGTCTGGTGAACCCAGTGAGGACGTAGTATGTGCAAGTAACTGATTGTGGTAGAGAGGAAGTAGCACTTCTGGGATGTGAAGTCAAATCTTATTTTTAAGAACTGGTGAAAATAGATTATTGCAACACTTGCGTGTATTTGATATTGAAATGTGTTATGTAGTGTACTAGGAAGTGGCTGAAGTCTTGTAATTGTATTTGCAACAGGCTCAGAAAATTGCAGAGCATCGCCGAAAGTATGAACGGAAACGTGAAGAAAAGGAGATCAAGGAGAGAATGGAAAGAGTGAAGAAGGCACGAGAGGAGCATGAGAGAGCACAGAGGGTGAATGCTCAGGCTTTAATGTTGCTTACCAGTTTGGGGAGTGGCGTAGTTATTTTGTTTTCAATGAGTTGCATGGGAGAATTGCTTTCACTTTAAATCTTAGGGAGTTACTTGATTTTTTTTGGTTACTCGACTGATGATGGAATCTGGAGAAGAGGGCTTTTTGCTGTATCTGTACCTGTTGCTTATGGCAAAGATAAGCTCTGGTATCTCTAGGAATCTGCATTTCAGGAATTCAGTTACTGTATGACTGTACTAGAATATTATTTACTTAGTATTTATTTCCAAAACTGGGAGGTTTTAACTTCAAAATAATCCTTTGTGTCATCTCTGCACTTCTATCTACAGTTCACTTTTTTTTTTTTTTTCCTGTTTTACCACTGTATTTTTACAGCACGTTAGGAGTGGGAATTGGTTCTAAAAATTAAGCTAATGGGCTAAAACTGATCATATAGTTAATGGTCAGTAAAAGCAAACTCCATGTAACTTAACTGCAACAACGTATGAAAATAAGAGGAGCTGTTGCTGTTTCTTGTCTGCGGCTTCATGTATTGTGAAGTGCTTTATTTGATAATTCCTTTAGCCTGTGAATATTAAACAGTCTCAGCTTTTGTTTTTTTTTTTTCCTCCTAGAACCTTTTGAACAGTAGAAAGCAGGCTGCAATTCCATAGCTCTGTTTGGAATTATATGCTTTTTTCTACAGGAGGAAGAAGCAAGGCGACAAGCAGGAGGAGCTCAATTTGGTGGTTTCCCTGGTGGCTTCCCAGGTACGTGTTTTTAAGCACCAATACTTGTTGCTTGAAGTGACTGGCTGGTTGTTTTTCTTTTCCCATATACAGCATTTATAACCACAGTGTAGATAGCATTTATTCTCAAGATGGGGAGAGGAAAAATGTTTTATGAAGTTTAAAACTTGTCTATAAATAAATCACTGGGCATTTATGAGTGGGGGGACAGATGAGAGATTCTTTCTCTTATTTGCATTGCTTCTGGGTAACAAGTAGAGGGAAGGCCAATCAGTAATCATGATTAATGGAGTGAAAGGATTTAGGCATGAGAAAAGAAAGATGTAACATTTGCTTAATGCATATATATGCTGAAAACATAGTATAAAATTTTCTGAATTACTAAGGATGACTTGGACGCATCCAGCTTGAGAACTGGAGTTGTAAAGCTGAAAATTGAGTTGAATGTTAGCTTCCAAACATTGCAGTTTTTCTTGTAGTTTAACAGAACAGTTTCTCAATGGAAATGTTGCTATTTTTAAACAGTTCTGTGAAGATCAGACTTTGTGTCATTTTTGGGTACAGTCAGTTGTAGAGAAGCAGTAGTGAGTGCTTGAAGATCAAATTGTAGTTGTGGTGGGCTGAATGCATGCTCCAAATAAATTGGCTTCAAGGGAGGCAAATAGCGACCATATCTGCCTCAGGGATTTTTTTTCAGTTATGATTTTGACTTTTTTTTCCCCTTCCAAATGTAAAGCTCTTACCACACATTGAATGAGCTTGGGACACACTGCTACTAATTCAATTCTGCTCTCAATTTTTCATCTCTTGCTTTCAAAAGTCTGAATTTCTTGACTTGATATGTACATCAAGTTAACTAGAAAATAACTGTATTTGTGTACAAAGTGCTAGACCCTAATTAGGTCCTCCTGTTCGATTGGGTTAAAAACACTGGAAACAAATTGCAGGTTTTCACAAAGCCCCTGCTTTCCATTCTTTGAAACAGCCCTTTGCTCTGTGGAAGGCATAAAATTGGGGTGCATGAGTGGAAATGTGTTCTGTTCTGTTCTGTGTCAGTGAGAGCTCCTGCACAGATGAGTTAAATGTTCTTCATCACGCATTCTTGTGTCTTGGGCTTTGCAGGTGGATTTCCTGGGGCTATGCCTGGCGGTATGCCGGGAATGGCAGGTATGCCAGGTCTCAATGAGATTCTCAGTGATCCAGAAGTCCTCGCGGCCATGCAGGTGAGTGTTTGATTAGAACCAAAGCTAAATGCTCACAGTGAGGGAGGAACAGCTTAGGGGAGCCAAGAGAAAAAGATGTGAGCCACTGAATAGCAGTGAAGGTGCGTGCTTGCTTCTGTTGTGAAATTTTCTCCTTGTGTGTGTAGCTGTTCCAGACTGTCTGGAATCTATTTTTTCAAACTGACAGGGACTTAATTAAAGGCGTCATGTTGTCCTCTTTTTCTTTCCCTACACATCCTTCCCACTGCCCCAGCCTTATGCTTGCATATAATCAACAAAATCATATACTGGATAGAGTTTTAAGCTTTTTTTGAGTCTCTGGTTATCTTCTATACAGTGTGATTCATTTCCTCCTTTTTTTGTGAATGCATCCACTCTGTGGTGAGGGGTAATGATGCACAAATGAAAAATTGTTAATATTGTTGCAGCACAATGTATTGCAATAATGTTGAGAATTGCCTTTCTCCTCTGGGAGTGAAGAGGCAAAGTAGTATCAGAGTAGTTCCACATCTGGTATTTTCTAAATGTATGTTTAGAAAGCCTACTTCCTTGGTAGGCTTGATTAACTACTCAATTGCTCAGTTGCTTAGGTCATTGAACAGCCGTGATTAGCACCTAAATAAATAAAAGCATTGCATGGGGCTGTCATTTGGTATGCCCTGAAATCATGAAAAAGGCATGGCTTCTCATGCAAAAATTCATGAGTTCCCTTAGTAATTGCTGGTTTATGGAAACACACCTTTATTTACGCTGCCACAAACAACAATCAAACTGTCCAAAACAAACAATAACAGCAACAGAAAACCCACAACTTGCAATTGCATTCATGGCTGGCTCATTTATGCTGTAATACAGGACTTTGGAAGTGGCGTTGTGGAAGACAGCTCTGAAGTGCAGTTAAATGTTGAGTGCTTAATCCGTGCCTTTAAAAAGGCTCCACTGCATGCTGATTATATATGCTCCAAAATGTTATGGTATTCTGTTGCAAGAACACAGATTGATGGTGTTTTCTCTAGAGTCTGTTAGCAAAGCTTTACGATTCTCACTGACTTCTTTTGCACAGTATTTAAATCTAGGTAAGATTTAAATGTCTGCACTACCTGCTCCTTACTGAAATATTTGATTGCAGTCTTATATCCTTCCTGAATCAGCAGCACAAGCTGTAGTCTTGAAAGAGTAGGTTTTACTGCTTGACTTGATTCTGCTCAGTGCAGCTATGGAATATGTTGAAGGATGATGGAAGCTGGTAGCTGTTACTGAGGCTAGCAGTGAAGTTGCAAATAAGTCTGAAGATTCTGATTCACACAAGTCTCCCAAATCATTTATATCAAAGTGTTATTTTAACTGAGAGTGTGTAGAGTCTTTTCATAGCAAGGAGTCACTCCTGAAACTGGAGTTTTCGGAGGGTGAAGACCTTCCCAGTCTCTTCTGGATTAGTGTCTATTAACATCTTTATGACGGCTCTCCTTGAGCTTACATCAGTATATGCTTCTTCTGGTTCTTTTCAAGGCTTAACTGAACCAGATGTGATTTTTTCTGCAGTGAGTTCTAGTGTATTTAGCTTGCTCTGAAATAGTGCCTCCTGCTTAGCTCCGTGGAAACTACAACAGACACAAAGAGCGCAATACTGATAGTGTTTTGTAACTACTTGTAATTCGCACTAGTTTTCAACAGTCAACACCATTAACTATGCTTTTTGTTCAGTGATGAGCAAGAGCCTGCATGCCACGCTTGTAAAAATCTGCGTGGCTGGCTGTAATGTGGCTTGTCTTTCACATCACTGTTATCACTGCTGAAATGCACCACCCAAGACTTCACTATGCTCACACCCACTGTTTGGTCTCCATAAATGTTCAGCAAGCATCGGTGACTTTCAACGGTTGTCTTTTTTTCCACATGGAAGAATTCAATGAGACGCCTTTGCTTCATCTGTGCTTCCATGTCAGACACCATTTGGTCAGAATGCCCCTCTGCTGCCCTCTGTCACGTGGCAGCAAAATGTAATGGAATATTGGTGAGAAGGTTCAGCTTCTACTGCCATACCACCACCATCTGCCTCTGACATTCTGGGCCCACGTAATAAAATAGGAAGCATTGCTTTCAGAGCAGCCCTTGGGCAAGTGAGATGAAAATAATGCACAAATATATAGTCACCAAAAGAAGTAGCTGAAATGGGTAACTTGAGGTGGGACATCTGGGGAATGTTTTGTTCATTTTTACCATTTTGGCTGTCAGGAGGGTGTTGTACTATTTCAGATCTTCTATGCACAACTTCTAAACACAAATGTCATGTTGTATATAGAGAAACACAAGTAGTCATAATCAGATATAATTTTTTTTTTTTTTTAAAAAAGGGTGATGTAAAGCACATCTAAGGACTGCTTACTTGCCATATGTTGAACGCAGACTTGTGCCTAAATGTGTAACATAGGAAAAAAAGAAAATTGTGTTTTCCCTTCACAATGTTACTCATTCTTCTGCAGCTGAAGACAGGACCACTAGAAAACTGGATGTTTCATTACCGCCATTTATACTGTCATTTCCCTTCCAGCTTTCATGCTAAGTGATTCCATGTGAAACAGTTGGCATTTAAGTAACCAGCTTTAGTAGTATTGCTCATCAGTGTGAAGCCTTGGATGTGTATCAGCCTTAAACATCTTAGTAAGCACTGTCAAGTGTTTGCAGGCTTTTGGGGAGTCGCACAACAGCAGAATAACTGAATTCATAACACATAGAACACCTAGTGTGAAACTGAACACTTATCGCTTATTTAGTTGTGCTTTAATAAGATTCGGTGACTAAGCTGATTTATCTTCATGTTCAGGATTCATATACATGTGTGACAACACAGATATAACAATACAGCATGCTCTTCATAGTCTTACATGCTATTATGAAATTGGAAATTGAGGTTTGAGTTTGTGCGAGTCATCTTCCTGTTTTTATAGGAATCCTGTAAAGTGGAGGAAATATATTCAGAGCCTTTTCTTCTGAACCCTGCCATCTTACAGAATTGGCAGATTCCCTTTTGTGGGGGAGATAGAACTCGTTTTTCTTTTGTGAGAAAGATAAGACTTGAATCTTTCAGTTCTCAGCGTGTGTAAAACGTGACTTAACCACATGGTGATGTTGGAGTGCACACCCACCAGAGGCATTTTTGGATCAGCCCTTGTTTAAGGGCTGTAGTCTGTGTCTAAAATAGATACATGGTGAGTGTTACTGTTTCACAAACATCTTCTGAGGAAAGATTGTATCCCTCAATGGAACTATCTAAATGCTAGATTAAACAGAAGGTGAATTTATGGCTTCATACTGCACTTAATAAACAGCCTTTGTTTTTTTTCTGGATTAAAAACGATTCTACCTGGGTCACTGAAAATAATGTCTCCTCTTTATTTCAATGGAAACCACAGTAGATGCTGAGCAGACAATAACACTGCAGAATGGAGAAATTCAATGATACATCTTTGCTTCATGAGCACTTCCCTTTTGTCAGCCTTGCCCTCTGCTGCCAACTGTCACGTGGCAACAACGCATAATGGGGTGTTGGTGACAGAGTTCTGCTTCTACTGTCATACCACCACCATCTGCCTCTGATGTCATGGGCTGACGTAATAAAGTATGATGCATTGCTTTTGGAGCAGTTATGATTCAGTAAAGGCCAAAATTATGCTGGCCATACAGGAAAAAGTATTAGTGTTTTGCATACTAAATAGTGAAGATGATCTGTGTTCTTTTGACCAGTGACTTTCATGTATATGTGAATGCATTTATTAACTATGACACAAAAGTGCCACGAGAGAAGATTCTCTTCCAGTTGTGATTTCCCAGAGAAAGTGGGGAATACCTGAGAATCAGATGTCTTTTCAAAAGCCAGGTGCTGCCGCGTCATCTGCTCACAGTCCAGCAGATTAAAGTTTCTGCTGCCAGAAGGAAGTTGGGTGAAAGGGATGTGTATCAGCTACTGCATGGAGGGGGTTATTCTGCCATAATTGGTTTTCCTGATGCCAGGAAATCTGCATGCAGATCTCTGTGGTAGACTTCTAAAAATGCCCTTGTTTTTGCTTTTTTATGTCCTGCAGGATCCAGAAGTTATGGCTGCATTCCAAGACGTTGCCCAGAACCCAGCAAACATGTCCAAGTACCAGAACAATCCCAAGGTCATGAGTCTCATCAGTAAATTGTCTGCTAAATTTGGCAGTAAACCATAAAATCCCCAGTTCATAAAAATAATTTTTGAGTGGGAGAGGTTGATTTGGCTAACCAGTGTTGCAATAAAACAAACCATTGTACCTCTGATCTTCTTAAGAAGAGGAACTGTGTGTTCTAAGGAGAACTGCTCTCTAGCCCCAAATGTTGATTTTATTCAGTGATTGGTTTACAGCACTCAAATTATATTCAGATGACCTAGTTTAAGCCATGCCTCCTTGTCCAAGAATTGCAACGTTTCATGGCAAGTATTAAATACAGTTTAACATTCCTGTGAGAAATATTCAGGAGTGTAAGATAAAAGCCTCTCTTTTTTGTTTGTTTGGGTTTTTTTGGTTTTCTATCATTTCTTTTTTTTTTTTTTTTTTTCCCTTTAATTATTTTTCCTCAGTGTACAAAAAGCAAGGAACTTAGATGAAGTCTGTCTTAATCTTGCTAGGACAGAGAAATTGGCCTACTCACAAGTAGGAAAGGTGGGATAAGTCTGTACAATTAACTGGATAAGGGTATTGCCTGCAAATACAAGTCCATATTGTTGGTTTTGTTTGTTTTTTTTTTCTTTAAATGAGTGACTGACTTTATATAGATATTAAAATGATTAGAATAACCATGATAGTTAGTTACACACTGGAACTTCTGGCAGTACTGCAAATATTACACTACTTTGATCACAGCAGTTGTACAGCAAAGGTGCTTTCCTATCCTTTGCACAACCTGGTATGAAGTACGTACAGTGGAGGCCACAGAAGTTTTGTTACTTATTCAGATATAGTCCAGCATGTTTATGTAATGTTGAGTTTGGGGGGTTTTTTTTTAATCAGTCCAGGTATGGGAGAGCAGCTTACTGTCTGTGCTTGTGCTCTTGTCCTTGCCCAGTTGGCAGGTCCTCTTCTGGTAACACTCGCCCTTGGGGCACGCTTGCCAGGTTTCATCTATTTGGAAACTTTAGGGAAGGAGTCTGTTCCCATTGCTACCTCTGTCTCATTGAATGCAAGCCATCCAGAACATGTAAATATAGAGTTATAAATTGGTGATGAGGAGAATATCCAACAAAGTTGCAGCTCGGGGTTGTGAATTGGTTTGAGTCCTTATGTGCTTACAGATAGAACTTATTGGTAAAAGTCCTCTGTCTGTGTAGAGATGATGACTCTTCCTCCAGTGCGTACTGTAGTCTTCCATCTTTTTTTTCTTTTTTTTTTTTTTTTTTTTTTTTCTTTTTTTTTCTTTTTTTTCTTTTTTTTTTCTTTTTCTTTTTTATTTTCTTTTAAGAAAGAGAGGTGGGGAGAAGAAAGAGGAAAGTATTTTTGTAATTTCATACTTCCATGTTTTTGAGACTTGGGATACAGAGGAAAAAATGAGTAACTAAAGCAGACAGAACGTTCTTGTAATGCTTACGAATTCTGAGCACGTTGTATTCTTGAAGCTGTTTCTGTGCTGTTAATGGTGTTCATTCGTCTACTGTAAGGACCAGTGTTGCCTCTGCTCGTCTTACTTAAAACATCTTTCTGTGGAAAAGCGGTCACAATTAACTGTTCACTGCTTGAGTCTCAACATTAATTTGTTACTCTTTTGTAATTCTGTATCTTAAGCCATAATTGTTGTTATCAATTTTAATTAAATCTGGATTGGTGTAGGAATTAAAAAAAAAAAAAAAAAAAAAGTAAATCCCCAAATGCTTTTTCTCATGCTAATGACCCTGCAGAATAAAATGTGAATCTTTTTGCTTAAGAAATATAGTTCTGAATACTTATAGTAGCCTTTCAAAATAAAGTATGGTTTTGGAAAATAAAACTTTTTGGATTTGTGTAACTTTCTGATAAAACCTATTTTGCTGAAGTTAAATGTGGGAATGCTTTAATTAAACTGTATATATATGACCTGTGATTTAAATTAGAACTAAGTGCTTAATGGTTTGTCTTAGTGACCAAGCAAATTCAAGCTATGATGGAGTGTTGCTTTGTGCCCAGCTTTTGGTCATTCTCTGATCTCCTGTTCCCAAGAGGAGAGGCTTGAAGTAGGCCACCCCTCGGCATAGGCTGAAGCTCTACTTCTGCTTCATTCATGCTGTTGCCTATATGCTCTGTGTGACTTAGTCTTTAATACAGATTAATTCCCTACGATTTCCTCTTACATCCTCTTGGCTGTTTGTATCTGTCTACCCATGGCTAGTCGAAAGTCAGAAGCTACCCCAGTAGAAATGGTCATTTGTGTGTCCTGTCTGCTTGCTTACACATCATTTACCCTTATACAGAGCTAATTGATGCTAACAAAATGTTCTCCCAATTCTTTTGGTTTTAGCTTTAGCAGCGTAGCTGAATTCTTTTGTCTGTTTGGGAATGCACATCCCATGACTCGTTTATGTGGTCTTTGTTTTCTTTTCAGTGCTATCTGATAAGATAGTTGAAGAGATCTCTGGACCTCATCTCAGTTTCCCAGGATGCTGCATTGACACCTAAGCAGCTTATCTGCTTTGAACAGAAGTGCAAGTGCAAAAACATAACTGCAGTGGAGAAGAGCAAAGATGAGGATAGTTCCTGTTCTGGGGTACAGGTAGCTACGAGCAAGTAACTTTTCTGTTCAGCACTTGCTCCAGCATTTACTGGCAGTCTTGAGGTTAATTGCTCCATTGCAGCACAAAGAAGGGATGGTGCTTATCAGTACAGCGGCAGTAATCAGCTCAGTTGACAACTTGACTTTGAGAACAGAAAATTTTTAAAAAATTGCTCTCATTTCACTTTTGGACTGTGAATAAAGAACACTTGCCAAATTAGGTTGGTTTTTCTTAATTTGGAAGGTAGTAATTAGATGGGTGGGAGCCAGACTGTCTCAGATTTGGACAAAACCGGGCTGAACGTGTCGATAAATGAGTATTAAAAAGCCATGCGAAAGTAAAAGGTAAAGCCACATGGTGAAACAGCACGTTTGCTATTTGCAACAAGCTGGAGTTCCAGATAACCCGTCTTGAAACATCACTGCGATTTTCTTGTTGCCTCACAGGACGTATGGAAGTAAGCAGTGTCGCTATGGGAGCTTGTAGAAACTGCTGTCTGATCTGCCTTCATCCAGAGGGACAGGAGGTAAGGGCCTTAGCCAGGATGAGCTGCAGCCAGGTCAGCTTTGTGTACCTACCTATGGGTTGGAGCATGCTCCTGATGAGAACTGTTTGGACCCTTCTGGAAATCCCACAGGACATCTAGGATGAGTGCAGTGATTTTGTGATTGTAGAGCAGGTTGATTTGTTGGACTAGTGGTAAGGCTGGAGAGCTGTTTTATCAACTGCAGCCCAGTCTGAAAGTGGTGCCAGTGCGGAAGTGGATTGATGTCCTCAAGCAGGAGAGTAACAAGGTAGGAATATGGTAGCAGGATGTTGTTCTGATGCTTGGAGAAAGACGTCTCATGAACCTCTTTCAGAGCTTTGCAGAGGTGAGCCTCGACCTTACTTTGTACAATGTTTCTACATACTGTAGAAATGTGATTCTGAATTAGCAAAGAGATGGAGTAAAAATAAAACTTCCACAGACAACTGTGTTGAGTATTACAGGGCAAGTCATGAGAGTTTCAGTAGAGTGATACAAGAAGTGCAAGTATGGGGGAAGCAGGAACAGTTTTAGTGTGATAAAGAAATAGATCTGGTCACATGGTCACAAATCATGGCTGATTTGTGCTACAAAGCAACAAAAATTTTCAGGTGTCTCTGGGGTACAAATAGTTGTTCCCCTTTCAAATCAGAGCTTAGGTAAATCTAATTCCCCTGATGTGGTCCTCACAAACAGGAGCTTTGTGAGACAAAGCTTCCTACATCCCCTCTGACTGGAGGTCCTACTGAATGTAAATACCAAGGATTGTCCTGTAAATCTGAGTCTTGATAACTAGCCAAGTCAAGATGTTAACTTACAATTTTGCTAATTGTGTTATTACTGTACCTGACTGATGTACAAATATGCTTTGGAAATGTATAATTCTAGATGGATGGCTTCAGACAAGCTTGAGATCTGCCTGTCAATAAATAAATGTATTTGCAGAATGTGTTATGGCTCTCTGTTAAATGGGTGGCAAAAATTGGCACCGTTTGTGATTATGCACTTAAGTACATTAGCTTATTAAAAAAATAAACCAGCTTTTTTTAATGCATTAGCACTTTGGTGGCTACAAGAAGTCAGATTCTGCTAGCTGTGTATAAATGTGAAAGATTACCGGACTTGGGATAGCAGTTTACCATGGAACTTCTTCCTGAAGGACAGCGATAGAAGCAGAGATGGTAAGTATAGCTTGTACAGAACAAAAGCATTCAGAAGGAGAAGGTACTGTACATGAGCTGTGAAATAAACAACAAGGAAGTGTAGTCTAAATCAGTAAGTAGGAAAGGGAATTCCATTATTAAAGCCTTCAGTTTCCTAAACCGAATGTTCTTACTTAGGAGGATGAGAGTCTTTAGAAATTAGTTTGCATTCTGTAGTCATAAAGTATCATAGCAGAAGATCAGACCAGATATCTTAAAACCACTGCAGTGTTTAATAAAATTACTTTTTAAAGTAGGATGAAGGAACAAAATTATTAGAAAGTTACCAGAATTAGATGCAAAAAATATCAAGGCATTACATTGAGAATAAACTGGCTACTGCTAATTGCACTGCCTCTTATTAGAGAGCATGTGCTGAAGATCAGCCACTGACATCTAATTCCCATCTGAAAAAGAAAAGCTAGTGGTTTGTAAGGAAAAATGAAATGCAACTGTTCACTAAAAAAAAAAAAAAGAAAAAAAACCACAACTTTTTCTTCAGATGCTAGATATTTACAAGTGCCTGGGAAAGAAAACAAACAGCAGCATAACAAAGCTTGTGTTTGACAATTTAGTCTATGGGAAACCAAAACTGGCTAAGGATTATTTGATGAACTACTAAGGCTGTTGAAGTGGCATGAGAGGAGATAATACTTTCAAATGCAAGTAATTTAAAGCTGAAAAACTTTTCAACTTCTTTGCTGTCACTGGGCCTAAAAAAGGTGTGTAGGGAAAACTCAATGGTATTCTAGAGGCTCAAAGTCTGTTCAGTTGCTTAATAGGTAAAACACAAGCATGTATGCACTTAAGAAATGGGCTTTTAATATATTTTTGATTGCAGTGCTTTATTCTGGAATAGGTTGGTGTTCCAACTGATCTTAAGTATGAACTCGCCGAGTCTGTAAGATCAAACACTGCTGCTCGATGAATTCAAACTGCTAATCTGTAGTTGCTTTAATCTGTGTTGCCCTGAAGGTATGCTCCTAAGTAAGTTTTGCTACAGATTCAGAAAATGCTTCTGAAAATAGTAATTCTCTTCACATTTCCAATCTCAAGAGAATTTCTGAGCAGAAAAAGGTGTACGGTGCTCTTTTTTTTCCTGTAAATTAGTATTTACACAAGAATATACAAAAGTATATACGCAAAGAGTGTAGCAGGGTAAAAGAAGTTTGAGTTCAGTGTTCATTTGCTAAGGTAAGACAGTGCAGAGGGAGTAAATTTGACTCTGGAGTCATTAAGTGTCATCATTCTACATACTTAGAAATTCTTAGAATTAGAAACAGAATGCGGGTAGGCAAGAGAAATGTTGTCAGTGGATGTTACTTAATTGTCCTGAGGTCCTTTAACTTCTTGTGCAAACCTCTTGCAGAGGAGAGGAAGTCTGACAAAATGGTGTCTGCCATGGAAGTGCACATAGGTGTGCCACTGAATTCCTCCATGCAGGAAAAATGGCACCCGCTGACATTGAACAGCTGTGGAGACCAACCAGTGGATGCGAGCACAGCGAAGTGTGCATTTCTGCAGTGATGTGAAAGACAAGCCAAGTTTTGGGCAGCCACGCATAGCTGTCACACCAAGAAATAAGAGCATAGCAATTGGCTCATCAGTGTGAATCAGCAGATTACAACCAGGGAGCTGTGTATGGAGTTGAATGTTGGCTTCCCTCTTGTGTTTCACGGTCTTACACCTGAGCCGCGGTGATCTTGTGAAGGAAGACAGAACTTCTTGCACCCACTGCACTTCTGTACCTTTGTGGGTTCTGCACATGGTAATATTCATATGCAATTTAAGTGTTGGAAATGGTGGTGGCACTGTTGGAATATCGCAAAGTTTGTGCTGGGTGTTCCACATATGCTCACATGGGAACAGAAAGAACGTGGTATGCAAGTCTGCTTGTATTCTACCAAGGCTGAAGGTGACAATTTCTTGTGTTGCATCACTACAGGTGGGGAGATGTAGTGTCACTGCTGTGAGCTGGAGTCAGAATGGTGCCCCATGCACTGACGACATTTGAATTCCCTAAGAACAAGTTCAAGATGGGTTTTGAAGGAAACAAGTTCCTTGGATAAAGTGATGTGCACCGTCTTTGGGGAGAGGAAGGGATGATCCTTCTGGATTTCCTGGAGCCCAGACAAACCATCAGCTCTGCTTCAGCTTAACACTGACTAAACTGAAGGCTTTCGTCCTATCGCAGTTAACAAGGAGAGGAGGCCGACCCCCACCTCGCCACAGCCTCCTTTCAGGTCGTTGCAGAGAGCGATGAAGTCTCCCCTGAGCTCTTCCTCTCCGGACCGACCAACCCCGCTTCCCTCAGCCGCTCCCCGTCAGCCTTCAGCTGAGGTGCCGCCCCACGCATGCGCGCAGCTCCAGGGAGGGCCGGGTGGGG